CGCATTCACCAACATGTGGCAATTATACGTTAATGTATTTATTATCTCCAAGATGGACAATCAGTGTACATGTGAAAACTTTTTATGGTAAGAAACATCATTTATCCAATAATTGCTTACATTACTAATGGCAGCGTTTAAATTGCACGTTTCGTTTGTAGTTCCAATTACCGATTATTTGCAACGCATTCACCAACATGTGGCAATTATACTTTCAAGTATTTATTATCACCAAGATGGACAATTATTGTATGTTTCAAAACTTTTTTTGGTAAGAAACGTTACTTATCCAGTAGTTACTTACGTTACTAATGGCAGTGTTTTGTTTCAGATTGAGTGAAACCGGAAAACTTTCACGTCGAACATCTGGTTTGCTTATTGCAGCCAACACTCTAATCTTAGTCCGGACTTAAAATAGCGATTAGACATGTTATCGGATTTGGTATGTTTTTCATTTTTATTATGGAGTTTATCCTAATGGCGAAATTTTGGTTTCTTTTGCCTAAGAGCTGTATCTCCGATTTTATCACTTTTGATAAATTTGTTCAGTATAATGTTCAGTTAGGTTGAGTCATCAATTTGAACATAATGGCGAATAATTTATTTTTATGCAGTTTAAATTGCGTTTCAAATATACCTACATACCGGCTTACTTCTATACGCATATCTATTATAATTAATTAATAATAAACATTGAACAATAGGTGGTTTCCTGTGAAACGAATATTTCATTTGTAGAAATCATTAGAAATGGTTTCCAAGCGCGTCCGCCAAATGTGCCAATCCGACGTTCAGATATCTATCATACAGTAACTACTTATATTCGCAAAAGAAGCGTTTTCATTCAGATTGAGTGAAGCACGAAAAACATTCGCGTCGAGCACCTGGTCGTCTATTGTAGTCGTCAGGCTAATCTTAGTGTAAGACGCTGTGATCATCGGAACAGATATGTTGTTAACTTTCATTATTTCATCTGTCCTGTTGTTCAAATTTTCAATAGTTTTTTTTCACGAGGAACTGCAATTTTGTCACTTTTATTAACTTTGTTTTGTAATCTTTATGTTAACAGAACTCACTATTATTGCTTACATAAAGACTTTTCTTAAACTTTTCATTTGCTATTTCGGAGAATGTATGTCAATAATTTTCGAATTGTTTAGTTTTAAAGAT